ATGAAGTAAGCTATGTACATTATGTGATACAAAGTGAGAACCAGTCATTTGCTCAAATGTTTCAAAATAATCCAAAGATTGGCATAACTACATATTTAGAATGATCAGTACTTAAAAGAATTCTCATTGCTATATTCAGTGTCATAAATGTGATAGCATTCATCAGATAAGATACCTTTTAAAACTACTGGCCCTGTATAAGAGAAACTGCCTAAGTTCTGTTGCCTTATATCTAGGATATTCCTCAATTCCTCTTGGTTTGCGAACAAATCATTTGTTAAACAGTTATGAATTTTATTTAGAGAAGAAGATAATTTTGACTTTCAAACTTGATAGACGTACATTTGGGCGGACCATTTGTCATCCAAAGATTGATTAATTTTCATGACTCTAAACATGCTAAGTGCATGTAATCAAGTGAAAAAGTCTGTTACATTTACATTGGGTATTAACACGATAGATGAAATTATAGGTGAAATATGGTGCTCTTCATTATTCATTGACACATAATCATCATGACTTCTTTTATGACCAATAGCTTTATATGGAAAACAAACTCTGTTGTTAATATATTCCCCTTCATGTGTACATCTAGTACATGAAAAATCCTGAAGTGTCCTTTTACACGTAATAAATAGCTTTTGGCTGGTACATCACAGCACATAACTTCAAGAGTTACCTTTTTATCTGTTGTTAATAGCAATACGTAACTGAACGAAGTTACCTAGTACAGTAAAACCTCGTTAAGACGCTCCCGTTTAATACGCCATCCCGCTTAACACGCGGATTTTTCCCGGTCCCAGGTAATTGTACACTTTTAACATTGAAAAAAACACGCTTAATACGCCACCGCATATTACGTAATCCCGCATAATACGCTCTAATTGCTGGCTTCTCAAACATTTCAAAATAGAAAAAAACCCAATTAATACAATCAGCGATAAGAATTTCGTTGAAACGTTTATCTATTATCGACCGAGTAATTGATATTTATTATTAACATCTTGATGTGGTTTATACTCTTACTATATTTCGTTAGTACGTACGTACGTTAGTTATATGATCGGACGTTGAAGTGTACACGTGAAATCACACGCAGATTTATAATTTGTATGTTTTGTTTATTGTTATTCGTGTGTGGTTTAAAATGACGAGTGCGTCTACGTCATCTAGTAGTGCCGGAGTGAAAAGGAAAGCTTTGTCTATTGACGATAAATTGAGAATTATTAAACTGTATGATGAAAAAATTGGTGTATTCAATAAACAACAAATTGCCGACCAATTAAGATTGCCCTCCTCTTCGTTGCGGACCATATTGAAGAACCGGAAAGAAATTGAAAAAAACGCTTTTTCAGGCAGTACGAAACGTCAAAAGGTTAGAAATGGTAAAAATGAGCAGTTGGAAAATATTTTGTTGGAGTGGTTTCGACAAGCTCGCACATTAAATTTGGCTGTAAATGGTCCCGTTTTGACAGAAAAAGCAAATGAGATCGCAAAAAGGTTGAACATAACGGACTTTGGTGGATCTAATGGTTGGCTTGATCGTTTTAGAAAAAGGCACGGTATTGTCTATCGTAAAATTTGTGGGGAAGCCGATGCTGTAGATGACAACAGTATTAAATCGTGGAAAGAGACAATTCTACCAAATTTGTTGAAAGATTATTCACCCGAGGATATATACAATGCTGATGAGTTTGGCTTGTTCTTTAAATTGATGCCAGATAAGTCACTTGTGATGAAAGACGAAACATGTCATGGTGGTAAGTTAAGTAAGGACCGGTTAACTGTTTTAACTTGCTCAAATTGGTCTGGAACTGACAAGCTAAAACTTTTGGTAATAGGTAAATCGAAATCCCCCCGATGTTTTAAAAATGTACACACTTTACCGTGTGATTATAAAGCTCAAAACCGTGCGTGGATGACTGGAAGTTTATTCATTGAATGGGTTCAACAGCTCAACTGCGAGTTCGTTAAACAGAAAAGAAACATCCTTTTATTTGTCGATAATTGCCCTGCTCATCCGAAAGAAATAACCCTTACAAATATCAAACTTGTGTTTTTCCCGCCAAATGCTACGAGCAAGCTTCAGCCCCTTGATCAAGGTGTGATCAAAGTTTTAAAACAGAAATACCGTAAGAAATTAGTTCAACGGTATTTACTAGAAATGGAATCGGTGACCGATGCAGAAATCCCCAAAATCAATGTTTTAGATGCTATTCATTATGTTTCAATTGCGTGGGATGAGATAAAACCAGAAGTTATTAAAAACTGTTTCAACAAAGCCTATTTTGATAACGTCTCACAAGAAGACCCTCACGTTTTGGACTCAGACGAATTTCGGGACTTTGAGGAGGTTTATCCAGGCTACACATCCATTGACGACCAATTAATAACGAACGAGGCACTAGAACTTGAAGAAATTATCAATCAGGCTACAGTAAACGATGAACCAGATGAGCCAAGTGATGATGAGGAAGAATACATTCCACCACTTCCGTCAATCGCTAGTACTGTACAATCAATATCTACATTGAGACAGGCACTTACTGCAACTGATGGCTCCGAAAACATGCTTCTATATCTAGGTAGGGTGGAAAATTTCTTATTGAATAAATATAAAAATAATGTATTGAAACAACCAACCATTACCACTTTTTTTAATCCAAGAAAATAATACATAATTATAAAATATGTTCCTAATAATTTTATTGTATGTATATTTGATGTTTTTTTATTATTAATTTTAAATACAACTTATGTTACTGTGTAATACATAACAAGTCACACTATGAACATTTTTCTAATTTATTCTATCTATGTACATACATATTATCACATTTAAAACGCTTTTAATATGCGGGTATCGCCTATAGCGCTTTAAGAGCGTAATAGGCGGGATATCGCCTATAACGCTATCCCGCATATTGCGCGGTTTTACGATTTCCCCTTCGAGAGCGTCTTAACGAGGTTTTACTGTACTTACATTATATATAATATTTTTTTGATACTGTTTTATAATTATGAGTTCATATAATGAATTATTATTTATTAATAATATTATATAAAAACAACAACTGTCACAAATATTATTTTAGTCGATCAAATCAATATATCACTATACCTGATGATACATCATACAAATAAATCATGTACCATATACCTACACATGCATGTAAGCGTATGTATACATATAAGCATGCTTATTCTGTGGATCTAGCCAATAATGTAATGTATATACATTAATGCAATAATATTAGTATTACTATAATACCTATATATAGGTGCCTATATATTATATGGTATTTATAAGTGACTTGTGGCTATAATACAAACTATTATAATATCTTTGGTGTCAGGGAAAAAGGACATCATAAGTCATAATTAATAAGTTTTCAAGGCGAGACCTAGTAATTTAATGTTTAAAAAATTAATTTTCTAAGACTTATTATGATTAAATATTTTAACCAAAAATAGTTTTGTTATTAAAGAAACAAGCTCTTTATGATTTTGTCCACATATTAGTTCTCATTATTTTAGATCATGAGATAATTGCTCAGATAATTGCTTTAGTATTTGCCTTTTTGCCTTAGTCCTAAAAATTATGACTTAATGCCATTATGATCAATTTAACTTGGACTTAATAATTATTAAAATATTATATCATTGTACTAATGTTTAAGCTCAAGCAAGATTATATAAATATGCATAATATTAGCATTTTTAAGATAGTAGGCCCATAATCTAAATGAACAATAATAATAAAATACATCATCTTATTTGATTACCTTTCTCAGGTATTTAATGAAAATGTTCAAGTTTAACTAATAATATAATGTCATTTTTATTGAATATAAATAAATGACATATTATTTATTGTAGTACCTACCTATTGATAATAATATGTAAATGTATTGTAACAATTTGGAACTACTATTAATATTTGAAATTATTTAATTTAGCCCCCACCAAAAAAAAAAAAAAAATGCTGGGTGAGCCTCTGATGATGCAAAATCATAAAAACAATTTTGTTTAAGTTCATGAACAATAAATGGCTTTATTTTGTTGGTACATCGTGTCTTATAAGAGTTGCCCAGTCTCTATAGGGATAACAAATAGAAATTTCTGACTTTTTTTTTTTTAATCTAGGTATCGTCACTGTCACATTTCATATGAGTGTGACCAGGCACAAGGAACTTATGATTGATTATTTATATTTGAGTTTTTTTTTTTTAATAAACAATAAACATGGCTGCAATATGAGAATTCTTGTTTTATTATTCTTCTCAAGAATCTGAATATAGAGTAACAGTATAATACTTTCTAGAAATAAGTTCATTATTTTTTTGAAAATACAGGATCCCATCTTATTTGCATCTATTCTAGCAATAATTATTCATGCTATAAGTATAGCAATTTGCTAGACCTGTAGGCTGTAGCAAGATTATGTGTGCTACAATTGTACCTATACCCTATATTGTCGCTTATAAAAATCAATAGAAGTTAAAATAAATGGTTTATATTATATATATGTAATATATTGTATTGCAAGTTGAATGCTATACAAACATGGAACTTCTGCAATTAAAGAGCTATATTAAATTGTTCACAATTTCTATTTCATCATTTTCTATACAACCAAAATGAAATTGTTAGGTATTATTTTATTTTATTTTTTCATGATAATATATATTACAATTAAAATACTATTTACCAGTTTAATTATACTGTACAGAATCAGATGATCAGCTGGATTTTCAATTGCTTTTATTCTTTTAATTAAACTATATAATTTAACTTTTTATTAGCTACTCAAAATATGTATATAAACAGTAAGGTACCCGGTTTTAACTCATGACTTAATTTTTTTAAACATTTTACTTTCCACCAAACTTAATAATTTTTCTAGTTAAACTAATTACTGTTTTTTTTTTATTGTTCAATTAATTTTATTGTACCTACACAATAATTATTTAAGTCAATCATATTATTAGCTAGCATTATTGTATTTGTGTATTACATAATAAATAATAATACACAAACTATTTATGTATTAACTCATTATTGTTTAATACAATTAGAAGTTGCCCTACAATCTCTATCTATTATAGTACTTATATGTGGTCTAGGTGGTAATTAAAAATTAATTAATTAATACTTCTTTTTAACCAAGTTAATCATTTAGGTATTAATAAATATTTATTTATTTATAATTATAATTATACCTAACATTTTAGTGTTGAATATATTTTTTTATTAATTATTAACTTAACACTACTGCAATAATTTCTTCTCATCAACTGCCCACCTTTGATGATGACAAAATTCAATAATAATAAGGTGCTCATCTATAAAAGTTACTACTCTTATAGCAAATTTATCTGAATATTGGTTTAAAATTTAAATCTATTCTGCTAGCTATTATAGTATAATATATAGTACGATACGTCTGCAGTAGATAAATAATTTATAAATATTTTATATAATATATTAGTAAACTTAATTATAATATACAATAACGATAAAAAACAGTACAAATATAATTTTTTAATATTTTCAAACAGCTGCAGTTCTATCCTAGGATGGAAAATATTGATGTATAATATTTGATGTGTAATAATTAGAAAATCTTGTGACTATATTTGGCTTTATATATTTGGAGATCAAAGATTTTCAAAATATATGATGGAAAATTGATATATAATATTTAATATGTTATAATTTGAAAATCTTGTGACTATATTTGGCTTTAAATATTTGGAGATCAAAGATTTTCAAAATATATGATGGAAAATTGATATATAATATTTGATATGTAATAATTAGAAAATGTTGTGACTATATTTGCGTTTCAATGTTTGGAGATCAAATATTTTCAAAATAACAGTATAATATTCTAAAGTAAATATTTGTAGCATAACCTAATTCAAATATTGTGAAAATATTAATGTTTTCAAATTGCTATCTGGGCACTCTCCCAACCACTAGCGGCGCAACAAGCACACCGTATCGCGGCCGGACGAGCAGTACAGCACGCAGCGTGATGCGAGCCAGCACACCGCCCGCAGACCACCACCGAAGCCTTGCAGGACGCACCAATGTGTCCATATCGCTGGCACTTATGGCCCCGCAATACTTTTACACTGGGGCCCACCCGACAACGGGACAGCCCAACGAACAACGTTTGGCCCACAATCTCGCCAGCAACCTCGGGCGTGACCTCAAACTCCACGTCACGTCCCCTACTCGTAACCCTATTGTTCCTAGGAATCAGTTCGAGGCTGTTACTCCAGCCCATCCCTAGATTTACAGAACTAAAGTTCTGCTTTTCCAGTTGAAAGGCATTTCACTATCCTTGACCTCAATTCCTACCCCGAATATTTTAACTCGAGGGTTTCTCTCGCCCGCCTGACGGAGGTCGAGCGAAGCGTTTTGGAGCAGCTTCCGACTCTCCTCATCATTCGGCTCCACGTACAATTTTTCCGCCTCGACCTTTTTCACTTTTTTAAACTTTGGGTTGTGCATCCCTGTCCTTACCGCCTCCCAGAGAGTCTTTATCAGATCTGCCTCGGTTGCCTCTGGGACAACTTTTGGTTTCTCCGAACCAGCCTCTCCTTTCCGCGGCAAGTTGATGATAAACGCCCCGCAGCCCTTCTCTCTGACCTTCTTTGTTTCTTCCAGGAGTATTCTAACATCCTTTGGGACGGCCCTCTTCACTTTTTTAACCTTCTTCTTCACTGTCGTCCAAGCGCCTTGCTTCTGTGCCCCAGACTTTTCAAGGAGGGGTCGTACCGGGTTTTCCTCCCGTTTTCGCCCTTCTGTCACCGACGCCTTCTGTACTTGGTTCTTTTTCTTGGGTTGTTTTTCAACAACCTTTGAACCGGAGCCTTTCCAGTCGGCCTGGCGACAGTCACCTCTTTCGAGGTTGATGCCTTGGGGTCCATTATAGCCTCAGGCCTAGGACCCTTTTCCAACTCCGACTCCACACTCTTCTCCTTCTCCTTCCTTCTTTTCGACTTCCTTTCACTTTTCTTCTTCCTCTTTAGCGCTTTCCTCTCTTTTATTACCTCGTCATGAATGTCGGTAACAACTTTTTCAAAGTCGTCTCTGATCAGGGTGTCCATTGGCGATGATGTCATCTCCGCAGGTACACTCCTTTCTTCGACTCCTTCTACTGGAGTTGCTCCCTTCACCAGCTCGGAACGCCTCAGGTGTCGCGCCTCCAGAAGTCTCCCCTGCATTATCATTTGCGCGTAAACGAGTTCGTCTACGACACCCATGATTTTTGCACGGGTCTTCATGAAGCTCTCCTCCCTGGCCTTCGTCATAGCTGACTTCTCCAGTCTCATCGTAACGACAAGACGGAGAAGCTCATCAGACAGCTCCCTCCCACGGCGTCCCAAATTGCAGGTATAATCCCGCAATTCGGTGGTGTCTGTTATAGACCCCGCGCCGTAAGTGAAGCTTTCTATGCCCTCACCGTCCTCTTCCCTGAATCTCTTCTTGCAGTTAGTAGGAGTTTCCTCCTCATTAACTGCAATAGAAGATTCCTCTCTTCTTTCTTCCAACTGTCCATTTTGTTCCTTTGCCATATCTTCATTATCTTTGTTTATTCTTTTTTTGTTAAAAAAAAGGATTGACGTTTTGCGTTAGGTCAGATTTTGCGTTGAGGACCTGTTGGCCGTGCAGAAGGACCTTGTTAATTTATTACAGCAAGGTAAAGTTGAGCTGAAAAAGTGGGCAAGCAACTGCGATGTTGTGCTGAGATGCATATCGATCGAGGATCAGGCCATCGAATTAACTTTTACACCTACTGAAGACACGGCTTTGAAGGTGTTAGGAGTACATTGGGATTCTACAACCGATACCTTCGGATATCACAGAAACACCGACGACGGGTCGATTACCAAAAAGATAGTGTTATCTACAATCGCACGGCTGTATGATCTAATCGGCACCCTAGGTCCGGTTTTACTATGGGCTAAAGGATTGATGCAAGATCTATGGATCTGAAACTGGGATCGGACTCTCATTACCCACATCGTTACGGTTGAAGTGGCGGCAGTTCCTAGACGAGTTACCGTGGTTGTCACGTGTTTCTTTACCTCGTCACATCGATATCCGTCGACTCAAGGAAGTGCAGATGGTGGGTTTTGCCGATGCTACACAACGCGGATATGCAGCACTAGTATTTTTATAGATAGCTGACAACTTGGGTCACTTCCATGTTTATTTTATCGCATGTAAAACCAAGATAGCACCATTGAAGGGATCACAAATTGATATCACAGTGATAATTCCTAGGCTCGAGTTGTGCGCGGCTCTACTTCTGGCCAGACTATTATTGTCGCACAATTTTGAACTATTGAAATCCATAATTACCGTCGACAAAATCAGAGCTTGGAAAGACTCCACAGTTGTTCTAGCATGGCTTACGCGAGAACAAAAACAATTTAAAATATTTGTTACCAATCGGGTGGTCAAGATACATGCACTGGTGCCCAATTGCGAATGGGCGCACGTGAGTACGTCTGAAAATCCAGCAGACCCAGCTTCCAGAGGTATGCTTCCAAGAGAGCTGTTGTCGTGCTCCAAGCATATGTCAGGTCCGGATTTTCTACGTCAGGATGCCTCTCATTGGCCAGTGGTTCCATCTACAGAAATTACGGTATCATTAGACGAATTACCAGAACTTAAGAACACGGTACAATGTATACTGCACATCCATGAAGAGGAGGGTCAATGGATGGAACGCTTTTCTTCTCTATCCCTGATGCAACGTGTGATAGGATATTGTCTTCGATTTATTAATCGAGCGCGAAAGCGTCCTGCGTCGTCGGGACCTATATCACTTGCGTAATAATATCAAGCTTTATACAGGACCATCAAATGTACCCAAAAAATGTATTACTCTAACCTACACAAACAAATCGCAGCATATCGGGACATTGCACCAGCCACTTTAGCTCAATTGGCTCCCTATGTGGATCAAGTGGGATTAATTCGAGTTGGAGGACGTTTGAAGCATTCGACACTAGACGACAACGCGAAACACTCTATATTGCTACCACAACGGTGCCATCTCACCGAGCTGATAATTCGGTATTATCATCAGCTATTGTTACATGGTGGGGCGAGAGTAGTACTTTCTATGATAAGTCGACAATATTGGATAATTTCGGGCTGAGCAGCTGTACGCCGAGCAATATATTCATGTATTCCATGCACCAAATATCGGGCCAGTACTCCTCAGCCTTTTATGGCGGACTTCCCTGTTTCCAGAGTCACCGCAAATCGACCATTTTATAATGTGGGCATGGACTATGGAGGTCCATTCATCGTGAAGGAGAGTCGTCGACGCGGGTTCCGGACTCAAAAGGCATATTTAGCCTTATTCATATGTATGGCTGTGAAAGCAGTACATTTAGAAATCGTAACTGATCTATCAACAGAATCATTTCTCGCAGCCATGGACCGTTTTACGTCACGCCGTGGAATTCCGGCCAACATTTACACAGACTGTGGCACAAATTATGTGGGTTCCGCGAAGCAAATTAAGGCTTTGCTCAAAGCAAATAATGTTCGTCAAGCCATTGCTTCCCATATTCAGTGCGAATGGCACTTCAATCCGCCGGCTGCGCCGCACTTTGGCAGCCTTTGGGAAGCTGCAATTAAAAGTTCGAAGACGCAATTGAAGAAGGTCGTAGGAGCGCAGACATATACAATCGAAGAGATGACAACACTGGTAATAAGAAGTGAAGGTATCTTAAATTCTCGACCCCTACAATCCTTATCAAGTGACCCCAATGACCTAGAAGCTCTCACTCCAGGACACTTCTTAATTGGACAGCTACTCTTAGCCATTCCTGACGAAAATGTCACAGAGGTACCAATTAACGGGTTAAGACGTTGGCAACTGATTCGTCAAGCGCTACAGTCGTTTTGACGTCGTTGGAGCCACGAATATTTACAGACTTTGCAAGGACGCAAGAAGTGGTTCAAACAAGCGGAGAACCTGGCCGTAGGCGATTTAGTCGTAGTTCATACACCCAATCATCCACCGATGTCATGGCAACTCGGACGCATATCAAAGGTACATCCAGGTCCTGACGGAGTTATCCGCGTTGTAACCATTCGCATAGCCGACGGCCTTCTCAAACGGCCAGTTGTTAAGGTTACCAAACTACCCGTGGAGGATGAACGCCGCCGGAAAATTGATGCGTTTGGACTTATACTTTTATTTTTTATTGTATTAAGACCCGGTTTTTCAATTGAATTTATTCGTCGAATAACAATAGTTATTCGACAGATAAGAACAAATAGATAATAATCAGTTTTTCAATGTCCGAATAAGCTTATCTGACAAATATAGTTACGAATAAGTTATCTGCTACTTTTTGTATCAATTAATTATTATTCGGCGGATAACTTACAGCTGATAACATATTCCTATTGTTTATCTGATTATATTTTATTACAAAAAGCCAGTTTTTAATTTTGATTTTTGATTTTACAAATTAAATTAAAGTACTGTGGCTTTTTACTGTTAATTTATCATGGATTATATGGATTTATTTGAAGACGACGATGACTACGAATTAATTCAATTTTTAAATTATCAACTTCGTGTGTACACGGTACACCAAAGACTTGATCATTTTGAAAAATGGGATGACCATGATTTCAGGGTAAGATTTAGACTTGGAAAGGATGTTGTTCTTCAAGTAGTAGAATAAATTGAAGATGAAATGTCATCACAAACCAATAGGTGAGCTTAAATACATGTTTGACACATACATAAATAATATTATTTATGCATCAAAATACGTCATTTAAATGATGATTTATAAATGTATTTAAGGAATTATGCCGTGACCGCGATTAACAAAGTATTGTTGACTTTGCGATTTTATGCTACAGGCAATTTCTTGATAACGGCTGGTGATTTTATGGGTGTGAGTAAAACCACGGCTTGTATAATTGTACGAGATGTCAGTGTAGCTATAGCAAAACTTCGATCAAGATTCATCCGTATGCCAGAGACCGAAACTGAGATAAGAAATTTACAACGTCGTTTCTATCAAATAGCAAGATTCCCAAGAACAATAGGTGCAATTGATTGCACTCATATCAAAATTCAAAACCCTGGTAAAATTTAATGTAACATTTATTAGTAGTATTCTATTACTTTAATAAAATTAAAACAATGTTAATAGGTGGTCCCAATAGTGAATACTTTAGAAACCGTAAAGAGTATTTTTCTTTAAACGTACAAACAATTTCATGTCCAGATTTGAAAATAATGGATGTCGTTGCACGTTGGCCAGGGTCAAGTCATGATCAAACTATTTTTAAGAAGTCACGTGTTTACAATAAATTGGTCAGTGGTTATTGGAAAAATAGTCTAATTGTAGCTGATAGTGGCTACGCTAATTCACAATATGTTGTCACTCCATACTTAAATCCTCAAAATGGCCCTGAAGGGTTATATAACGAATCTTTAATTAGAACTAGGAATCCAGTTGAGAGATCATATGCGGTTCTAAAACGAAGGTTTCCAATCCTATCTTTTGGATCACGCTTAAAAATTGAAACCACCCAAGCTATGATCGTTGCATGTTGTAGTTTGCATAATATAGCATGCGATCATAATGATTTAGAACCACCTGAACTATTAGGTATGTATATGCCAATTATAGATGACTTAAATTTAAGAGAGGAACATGAACCAAAAAAAAGGAAATGCAAGACAGCAGTTAACTGAAGAATATTTTACAGTTTTGATACGAGGTATGACAATAAAATAACGAGACTTTTTGAATAAAAGTTGTTTATTTTAAAAATCTTATAATTTAATGATTATCACCTTCAAAGTACCTTCCCTCAGCATCAATACATTGTTGCATACGTCGCTGCCATTCTTGAAAACAGTGTTGCCAATCGCTTTCATTCAGCCCTTTTAGAAGTTCTGCCGTTTTCATTTTTACGTCATCGACTGTTTGAAAATGGGTTCCTTTTAATAAACTTTTAATTTTTGCGAATAAGAAGAAGTCACAAGGAGCAAGGTCTGGCGAGTACGGGGGATGTTGAAGCACAGAAATTTTTTTTTCAGTTAAAAAACGTTGAATTGAAAATGCACTGTGAGCTGGAGCATTGTCTTGGTGAAGAACCCAGCCATTTTTCCATAGATCTGGTCGCTTCTTTCTGACACGTTCTCTTAATTTAATTAATACCTCTTTATAATAATATTGATTGACTGTTTGCCCACTAGGAACCCATTCAACAAAAATTATTCCCTTAATGTCAAAGAAAACAATGAGCATTGCTTTGAATTTCGACTTGCTCATTCGTACTTTCTTCATTCTTGGGGAAGTTGGTGTCTTCCAATGCATGGATTGCCTCTTAGTTTCAGGATCATATGTAAAAATCCATGTTTCATCACACGTAATAATATTATTTATAAAAGATGGATCGTCTTTGATGATTTTTAAAGTGTCTGAACAAATTTCTTTTCGATTGAATTTTTGATCAATCGTTAAATTTTTAGGGACCATTTTAGCACACACTTTTTTCATATTTAAATTTTCAACTAAAATTTTACGAACACTTTCTCTATCAATATTTACCATCTCTGCTACAGCTCTAACACTTAATCGACGATCTTGCCGAATAATTTTGTCGATTTTTTCAACGTTTTCGTTTGTTGAAGACGTGGTAGGACGTCCAGAACGATCATCGTCTTCGACGTCCTCCCTTCCACTACAAAACCGTTTGTGCCATTCAAAAACACTATGATTTTTTTTTTTTTACTAGAAATAATATAAAAACTAATATTTACACAGGTGATGATAACACTCCGGTATTTATCTCATACTTGCTAATTTTTGATGTTTTTCGGTTGTTCTTAATAGTTTTGTGGACTCTAATGGGGTCCATAAATGAGTGTTTTCATATTTACTAGAGGTACCAGGCTGATTATTTATTGGATTGTCCATTAGTGTTTCATTTGTTGCATGCAATGTATCCTCCAAGTTCAATACTTTTATAAAATAAATATACAATATACAATTAACTCATTTGAATGATTATTAATAAATTGGACATGGACAAAACTCAATTTTTATTATAATTATTAGTATAGTAGTAAGGTATTACTACCTTTACAATGTAATATAGATTCATCCTCTTCATTAACCATAAACTCATGACCATCAAATATTATCTCCTGTTCAATTACTGAATTTTGTTTCAAGGGGCCTTGATTATATTTAGTTAATTCAAAGCTATCAATGTTTTCAGTCACTATTGCAAAAAAAAAAAAAATAATTAATTCATTAGTTATTAGCTATTAGATTCATATATATGACCAATGCAAGTAATGTCTTGCTCTTGGTAATGAACTAAAAAAAAATATAGGTACTTATATATTTATTATAAGGTATTTTAACGTTGAGTAATATTATTATTTATTTTTTTAGAGTACCCATTAAAATAATTTTTAGGATCTCTATACAAAAACTTTGATCTTAACTTGATGATCACAATACACAAGTCAAATTTTGTGTTAACTACATAAATAAATTTTCTAACCTTAACAAAAAAAACCTGAGTTAAAATACAGAAATGCCATCTGACTTGACTTGTTCAATTTTCTATTATAATTAACCCATCAATATTTAAATACAACTATTAGATAGCTATGAATTTAATTAAATTTAATCAAGGTTATATAAAAAAAGAATGGTTTAATTATAAAAGATATTAAATGTTTATAGAAAACTACTTACAATCGCTATCATATTTACTAGGTAGTCCTTCTATCGACAGTTGCAGTATTTCATATAGAGCTTTCTCCGAATCACTGGAAACTGTATAAGGATCTTTATAAGGACCACCCCCTGTTTTAAACAAATCGCTCTTAGTTCCACGTAATTGTTTTTTTACAGATTCATACTTCAAACGAAGACTTGTAGAATCTCTTGGCTATAACAAAAATAGTACAATCATATTTTATACATACAAAATTTAAATTCATACACAGCCTGTTGTTGTAGAATTGTATTTTTCAGCAATTATCAGCCAACACTTATTTTTATCCTTCCAGGATACTGCATTTAATTGTTTGTTCTCCAATATATGTCGGTTTTCAAGCGCAATATTTAACAACAACTCTTTTTCTCGAAAACTAAAATTCGTTGCCCTGGATCTTTTTTCATTGTTTTTATTGTTAGACATATCGATTGAAAATATACAATTTAATTTGAATGTAAAAACAAAAATAATTACTTTAAAATTTAAAAAGGCGCACCAGCATCAAAACATTCAAAACGAAATAATTTAAATTATTATTATAAACAAATATCACATTATCACAATAACCAACGTTATCATTGACCAATCATAATTAAATCAGCATGTAGGACTTGTACCATAATGCACAATTCCTACCACATATAAGTATCAATAAAATGCCATTAACTTTATCCGTCGAATAGCTATCTGAAGAATAAGATTACATTGAAAAACAGTTATCAATTTATTCAGAAGATTATTCGACAAATAAGTTTATCCGATGAATAACTATCTGACGAATAACTGGGTGATTGAAAAACCGGGCCTAAGCATAATTATTCTATTATAATGTTGTTTTATTATTTTTTGTTGCATATACACCCACGATCGCGGTTTGTTTTTTTTTTTTATTTTAAGTTATACCATCATAATCCATAAATTTCGTTTGAAAGACGTCCTTTCAAAGGCGGGAGGATGTTCGGTACCAAATTTCAAAAAAATTACAATACACAACACTCGGTCAAGGGTCGTCACCGATAAGACAGAAACTTCTAGACGGACCCTACTTCCCCCGCCGTTGTATAGTTCGAATCAGCTGCCGCCTCGAACAAAGGACAGTTTTTAATATTTTTCAGTCTTCTCCGGCCCATCGTCGTCATCGTAGGACCGTTATTTTTACATGCTTCGCGTCGCCATTTTTTGCTATCGGTGGCAATGTTTTTAATGCAAGTATTGTGTCTTAACGTATTACGATAATTTTATGTTAATTGTTTGCATATGGGTGCATTCAATTAATTGTATATCGCGCGCGGGTGCGAGTTTGTTGGTGCGTTGGGCACTCGACCTGGATTTTGGTCATCTTCGGATATTAAATATTATATTTGCAGTTCAATCTTCGCCGTGTGGGTCACGGAAACTGCACTATATGTACGGTAATGCGCCATCATAACAGGTGATACGCGATATTTTATATTATTAATTTTGTATTATTATTATATTGTTATTATTATACTATTATTATACGTATAGCCGAGTTGGTTTATACGTTTTTTGGTCAAATATTGAAATTTATATTATATAGCAGGTGGGCGCCTACACCCCGGTAGTGATTTTATTATAATATATAATTAATTAGGCGATTGTATTATTTTATTATTAATTATTTACAATTAAATGTGTGTGGTGTGCTGTAAAATTATATTTAAATACAGTCCATTATTATTATGATATACAAATTCTGAGTTTTTTATTTTATTTTATTATTATTGGCATTTAATAATTAAGCATTACAGTGCACACATTACACAGATGAAGTAGATTATAATATATAATTGTATATTATAATATACCTATATTATTAAAATATAAAATGTTAACCATGATATCTTTTATAAATATACAGGTCTAATAAATAGGCAAAATGTTAGGTAAAATAAATTAAAAGCATATAACACATAAAGGTGTATGAAATTATATTTTTTTAGTAATTAAAATTAACATAAACGAATTAACATTTGCACATATAATTATATAGGTGTGGAAGCTTGAATTTCATGAAAATATTATTAAGGGGATTATTATTATAAAATAAAACATAATATATTATATAGTATAATATATAAATAAACATGTTTACTTTTTTTTTTTTAAATAGTCATGATAAATAACATATATTATATATTAAGTAAAATTATATAATAAAACAAAATATTTTTTAACTTATTATCATAGCTTGTGAGAATTTTATAACATTATGAATTAAAATAAAAAAAAAATCAATCCTTCAACTGTAAAAAAAAAGAAATTTAAGTCGAGAAATTCTTATCAGAAATTATTTTTAAATTTAACGGGGCTTAAGCTAGAACATATTTGATGATATCCTCCAATTCATTTTGAGATGAATTTTTAAATTTATTTTGCTTTTTGATAGCATCTAAAAAAATATTTACAATAAATATTATGAATAGGAAAAATATTTTGGATGTTTGGGTATGTTAGCACAATAAAAGCAGTAAAATTAACATTAAAACATTACACAGCCATAAAAGCTAAGCATCAGGTACTAAATTATTGAAATCATCGTGTATTCCCGAATCTAACATGGCGTTTAATACTTCTTGTTGCTGCTCTTCGAATTGATTAATATATTTATCAAGCGATACGTAGTGCGCGAAGTACAATGGTTGCTTCTCAACCTCCGTTAGCGCCTCCCGCGCTAACACGTCTAAATTGCAAATTTTACGTAACGCTATGTCACGAGAGGCACGGGAACGTAACAACAAGTCCGGCTCCGAAGCCGCCGCGGAAACTGATTTGCGTTTTGGAGGCATAATAACAGATAGGATATCAAAAAAAACCCCGATCTAAATATACTCTATTCAGAATAACCTTGCTCACTTCAGCGCATGCGACAGTCGCATGCGAACGACCCGTTCATTTTGAACGAATCGTTGAGAAGATCCGATTCGTTCCTGAACCGAGTAACGGAAAGATTCGGTCAATTGGTTTTTTTTTTATTGTCGTTTACTCTGTTCCCTGCAATATGAATCAGTCGGCTCATGCTCATTGTAACGTATCGCCGTATCGGTCGTCGATCGTTACGGATCTTTGATTACCAATGCTTGTCGATTGTCGATCTGAACCACACTGTAGAAATAGTGAACGTAATTGAACGTAAGTTTGGTATATGTTTAGTGATAACTTATCACTACATATCCATAAAAATTATTATTATCATTTTATATTTTATTATGAATGAAACAACAAACAAGTAACAAAATAACAACTACCTATATCCATATTATTATTTATTATTGTATTAACCTTTTTATAAAATATAAATTTATAAAACAATATGCAGGTAAAATAAAATAATTACGTAACACAGATTATAATTATTCCTCAACAGTCAACAAACATTTAACTACTTTATAAATTATTACCAATTTTTTTTTATAACAACACATTTGTTATATTTTGAGCAACTTAACAATAACTATTTAAACAAATCTAACATAAATAGTACTCTTTTTCATACTACTTCTTACTTGCAAGTAGGTTTATATTTTTTGTATAGTATTTTTAAATTTTAAAATACAATAATAAATATGAATTTATAAATTAGCTTGAATAAAGATAATTTTTTCAACTTTTGAAGTTGTCATCCTACTTCGTCGTTGTGTCAAAACTTGGCCAGCCTTAGAAAAAATACGTTCACTGGGTACAGACGTTGCTGGCACACACAATCTTCTCTTCATCATCTCATATAACCGAGGGTAAATATGTTTCCGTTCTGACCACCACTTTAATGGGTCCATGTGACGACTGAGAAGACATTCATTCATGTATTTGTCCATTTCAACTACACTTGCAACAGATGAATTGTTTTGACCTACAAGTGAACTAACTTGTTCATCAAAACTTTTCCAAATATCTGAAGTACTTGTTGATGCAATTTCAGTCACTGTGTGTTCATTGGATGCCGCTACTGGTTCATTTTCAATATTTAGGGATTGTAATTTTTGTTGTAAGTTTGTTTTTGAATTTTGAAATTTATTTTCATTGGAAAAACCAAATTTTTTAAATCTAGGGTCCAGAATTATTGATTGTCCTTGAATTTCATTATCTTCTAAATTTTTAAAATAGTTATATAAAGTTTTTTTTATCTCAGACGCCATTTGAATGATTATTTCATTAGAATTCTTTTCATAGATAAATGTATTTAAATGGTCAATTAAAAATCTATAATATAAGTTTTGCTTTGAAATTGTAATATTTTGTTCAGCACTCATTTCCTCTGTTACATTATTGAAAATACCAAGTAACTTGCATGCTGAATCAATTAGTTCCCACTCTTGATTGGTTATACAATTTAATTCATTATTCATGATAGCTAAAGTGGAGAGAACTGGTTCCTTAATTTTTAATATTCTGGACATCATATTGTATGCTGAGTTCCAACGTGTTTTACACTCTTGTATAAGCTTTAAAACTTCCACTCCTGTTTGTTTTTGTATATTATTAAGTTTTAAAAGAGCACTTGAGCTTCTTTTAAAATATTCTACAATATCTTTAATTTTTTTCAGAACTGGCTGTAACTGCAAGAGTCCATTTTGTATGCCTATATTTAAAACATGAGCAAAACATGGAACATACCTCCAATTTGTTAACCGAATTGCTGCTTTAATATTAGAGGCATTATCTGTTACGACAGCGGATATCTTGTTTTCTAATTTCCATTCTTGAGCAATTTTTTTTAAAAAGTTGGATAGTTCATTAGCTGTATGCTTTTCATTAAAATTAATACAACCTAAGAGTCGAGAACATAATTTTGTTTCTGAGTTGATAAAATGTACTGTTATAGCTATGAAACTCGAGTTATTTATTGAAGTCCAACCGTCGGTAGTTAATGCTACTGATGTAGCATCCTGCAAATCTTTTGAAACTTTTTGAAAAGTGTCATTATACACTTGTAAAAGTAAATTATTCGATACTGTTTTTCTTGATGGCATAGCATAGTTTGGAGCAAGCATTTTAATTAAATTGCAGAATTCGGATTCTTCAACCAAAGAAAATGGATGGTAATGCTTTACTATAAATTTTGTTAGTTGCTGGTCAATTGCTTTAGATTTAGATATCGATAAAGGTTTTGTTAAGTAGTTGGATAAATTTGCTTGTCTGGAAGAAGTGGATGGAGCATTACACAATGATGAAGAAGTTGATGGCATTAAATTTGTATCTACAGGTCTAATAATTTCATTAGGATTATCTACACTAGCCTCTATTTGATTAACTGATGGTTCTATATTAGTTATATTTCGTGTTAATTGTATAGTAACATGCTTGGTTTTTAAGTGTCTCATCAGATTACCAGTAGATCCCCCAGTGTATTTTATAGTCTGCATACAATAGCTACATTTAGCTATAGTATCTGATATGATTGAAAAATGGTTCCAAATCACACTTCTTTTGCGGTTCATAATTATGTGATTTTACACTGATAAAATAATATTTAATATTAAATATTAATTTTTTTTATTTTATAAATAAATTTAAATTTATTTTAGTTTTACCTTGTAAATTGTAAAGTTGAGTCCCAAATTTATAAAACAGTTTAAACTTTAAATAACTTTCAGTTAGCAATACATATTTAATAAATCTAATAATGCATCATTTCATTTTTTTTTTAAATAAATATTGCTTTACTCTGTTGGAATATGTCGATTCCTGTTATACATATATTTTACATTATATAATAATAGAGTAGAATAATACCTATTGCAGTGTCAAGACATGCTCATTTATTGTTAGCACACGCCGCCACACGGTCAAAAATATATATAGTATAAACACAGAATAGATTAAATTTAATCTATTCTGTGGTATAAATTATAAAAATGTCATGTGTCATGTATGTACCTTTATATTATTATTTTAATATATTTTATATTAATTTTCAATTATAAAATAAAGTATAAACTTAAATATATAAGTATTATAATAATACAATTATTATAATATTCGAAAATGAAATTACAAAATAGTAAATATTCAATCATATTAATTCCTATCAATTTCATCTTATAAAGGTCCAAAAATGTCGTCCTATTGTGAACCGGGCTGGTGGGCTTTAAATAAAAATTGTCAACTGTTAAGTGATCCATTCAATCATTCTAAAATAATATTTTGGTTCAAATGGCTCAATCGATTCAAATACGGGTAAAAACTGATAAGAACTGAACGAGTCGTTAATGAATATTTCCAATCAAATAGTTCCGATTCAGATACGGGTAAAACTGATGAGCACTGAACGAGTGAACGAAATGAACGGGTCTTTTAAACGGATCATTTGGGTGAGCTGATTTGAATGATCTGAATCATATAAATGAGTCATTTTTCCCATCCCTAAATTGCGACTGAGCCGTCGACAGCTGTCAGACCCCCTGGCGAAATTTTGGAGCGCTGTGATTGGTCGTTAGTTGTCGACCGCTGCCGTGTCCTGTCGCTACCGACAGCCGCCGCCGTATCTACAGATGATCATAATAACACGATCGTAATAATTAATAATTATTACCTATATCATGTTATAATGTATAGTTTTTTTTCTTTACCATGTATTTGTACTTTTACCTTATTTTTCTGTACCAAACACAATGCTTACGTAGTATACAATTATTATTAAAACCAAATACCAATACGTCATATAATTTGAGGAGAAAATTAAAACTAATAAATATATAAAACTTCATATTTACAAAAATTACTCATATTTCTTAAAAAAGTCATTTTTTTTCTAAACAGTTATTTACATAATCAAATTCTTGTTTACAAAATTTATCGTTATATATACAAAAATTATAGTTATATTTACAAAAATTAAGGTCAAAATTATTCAGTATCTGAATCCGTTTCAGAAGATGATGTGTCTCCCGTAATAGTCATCAACAAATCTTCTTTCTCCGCGGACAACACCTCGTCTATTATGTTATCAACCTTATAAAATTTTACCTCTTCTTTTTTTGTGTGGCTAATAAAATTTTTCCACATTTGTGCGTCAACTAGATTTATGCCCTCTATTAGTAATTTTTTTACATCCAGAAGTTTGTATGTTGTGTTGTTCATCCGAGCATGGTTCTTCACCGATGACCAGGCGAGCTCAATGGGATTAAGCTCGCAGTGGTATGGTGGGAGTCGTAACATTTTATGATTATTGGCTTTAACAAGCTCGTCAATAACATACTTAGTATGTAGTGGCTTCAAAGTTTCACTATGTGCAAAAGTTGAGGAATATAACCATAGTTCGGTCTACCACATCTCCTTTACCCTCCAACCACTTAATAATATCAGCCTTTCGTGCATTCGATGTTGGGGCTTTGTCTATTTTCGCGGAATGGTAGAACGCATTGTCCATAACAATAACAGAGTTCGGTTTTAGGAGAGGTACCGTACCCTCAATCCATTCACGAAATGTGTCCCCATTCACCTCATCATGGTAGTCACTTGTATTTTTTTTCGACTCAAAACATAACAAACCACCGGGTACAAAACCATCTTAAGAGCCGATATGGAGAACAATAAGTCGTTTCTCTTTGCCAGAGGGATTAATAGCACCTGTAGATAGACCTTTTAAGAATGCATCCCGGTGAGGCCGTACTGTTGTGTCGACCCACGTTTTCGATGTGCAATCGCCAACATTCACCCATGTTTCGTCGAGAAAATAAATATGTCGACCTTCTTCCCGGTATTTTCTAATGTTATCCAAATACATTCTGCGCCACACAACAATCTCATTCTTTTCAGTCATAGCACTGTTCCTACTTCGCTTACTGTAACGGAAATCTAAATCTTTTAACACGTTAACCGTCGTATGCGTGTCACGCCAATACTATTTTCGTGAAACGTTCTATATTTGTTCCTATAAATAACTTTGGATATATTGATCCTATTAAAATAATTCTAATACTGTCGTGATCGTCGATAAGCTCTAAATATAGATTTATTAATTATTTTGTATGGTAGCCGGCGGTCATATGGCGCTAAGAAATGATTTTTATAACTTGTACGTCGTATGGACGCCAGCTACCATACAATTTTGTTTATGTATAATTATTTTTAGATTTATTATCATAGTATTTATAATTATCATCATTTTATCGAATACGAAAATTATTATTCTTCAGTGTACAGCTGAACGTAGTGGACATATTCTGTACTACTACGTAAATAGTAAATTTTTATTGTCTATATTTTTAATAAAATTGAAAATGGAATCGTCAAATAGGCCGAAAAGGCAACAAATTAATGATCGTAAAATCGAAAAGGAACTTTTTCGTGACTTTGATGATAGTGACCTAAGTAGTTTTAGTGAATTCGATGATTCAGATGCCGATAAAGATTTCTATGCATCATCAGAGAGTAAAGACGGATCCAGTAGTGGTAAGAAACATTTAAACATAATATTAAGTATAGTATATTCTATGGTTTAAACTTCTAAAATTCACTTAACTGTGTTTTTTAACTATTAATATTTTATCAATTCTATATATAAATACATTTTGTAGGTTTATTACGTACAAATTGTTTATATCTATAGTTAGACTAGTTCATAAAAAACATTTTAAATACCTACCTATATTAAAATTATGCAATAAATTAAAATAATATATCTACAATTTTAGATACCAGTGATTATCGTGAAATTCGACAAATTGAAAATCCTTCTCAAAGTCCGAATGTGACCAATCTTGATTGGTTTAACGTAACAGGAGACTATCATAAACAATTTGTGTTCAATAAAAATCCTGAATTAAAAATAGATATTCCAGAAAATGCATCAGTTTGGTACCATTTTAATTTGTTTTGTAGTGATGATATTATCGAACTAATTGTAATTGAAACAAATAGAAATGCCGAACAGTTTCTTTCAAAAATTAGATTATCGAAAGCCAGTAGATTTTCCAAATGGGTACCAACAAATTATAATGAAATAAAAAAGTTTATTGGTTTACTTTTATGGATGGGCTTAGTGCAAATGCCAAGCATAGAAAGTTATTGGAGTACAAAATCCAGATATAATAATAGTGTTTCCGGTAAAACGATGCCTAGGAACAGGTTTGAGTTGATATTAAAATTTTGGCACTTTTCTAATAATTTGGAAGCCCCTGTAGATGATAGAATTTATAAAGTTCGTGGTTTGATTGAATGTCTCGTTAAAAATTATCAATCTGTTATGGAGCCAGGTGAATATATGGCTATAGATGAGTCGACGGTCCCTTTTCGTGGCCGTTTGAAATTTCGACAAAATATACCAGGAAAGGCCCATAAATATGGTGTTATACTTTTTAAAATTTGTGAAGTGAATGGATATACACATGACGTGAATGTTTACGCAGGCAAAAACCAAGTTAACGGTAAGGGCTTAGCATGCAGAGTTGTCCTGGAGTTGAGTAACCCTTTTTTAAGTGCTGGACGGACAATAGTTACTGACAATTTCTATACATTTACCTTTAGCTAACAAACTTTTAGAAAAAAACACTCATCTTATAGGCACTTTAAGATCAAATCGAATAAAATTACCCGAAATTTTTACGATCTGGTGAAATTATCGGTAGATAAAATATAAATGGAATTGTAGTTGCAAAATGACACGACAAAAGGGACGTTTCCATGATGTCCACTAAACACAATATTAACATGGTCGAAACTGGTAAAAAAAATTATAAAAATGAGCCTATTTTTAAAACACAAATAATATTAGATTATAATGCAGGAAAAGCTGGAATCGATCTATCTGACCAACTTTCGAGTTATAGTTCCCCTGTGCGAAAATCAATCAGATGGTATCACAAAGTTGCCACAGAAGTGTTACTCGGTACATCAGTGGTTAATGCATTAATTGTATATAACATGAATAAATCTCCAGATAAAAAAATATCCATCACAAAGTTTCGTGAAATGTTAGTGGACGAATTACTTGAACTAGACCAATCGCAAATTGCTATATCAGAAAGTCCAACTATTTCAACTAAACGAGGCCGAAAAACTAAACACAAATTTGAAGAGTCTGCAGAAAGAGATAACCGTAACCGAAAAATTAAAAAAAGGTGCCTTCATTGCTATTCGCTCAAAACCACAGCTTTCGGTTCAAAAAAAGCTAGTGTTGAAACAAAAAAAGTAACTACATATTGTTCTACTTGCAACATATATACATGTATAGATTGCTTTAACAAAAAACATTTAAATTATTGTTTTATTGGTTTTTTTTATAGGTAGGTAACTCTATATTAATTTTTATTTACTATGTATTTTAAATATTAAAAATTGTATAATTTGTTTACATACTTACCATGCAAGGTCAAAAAATTATTAAATTAAATTATAATTAGTATAATTATTTTTATATCTGCTATTATTATTTAAGAATTTTTTTATACCTATTATGTTCAGAAGTTCATAAAAATGTATTATTTTATTATTATTT